GGGGAAACAGCTTTAACTTTAGCCAGGATGTCTCAGTGAGACGCTGCATAACTCAGATAATTGTGACCACATATGGGATACAACCCTAACATGTACCTTGTTTGTCAAGGCTTGAAAACACATCCCCTGGAGGCACACATGAAAAGAGAAGCTGGTTAGAGAACAGCAGGGACCAGAGGACGGTGGGACTGGAATGGATTGCGTGGCTAAGAGTCAGGGACTCAGGGAGAAGAGCCAGCAACCCTGGAGGGAACATGCCCCAACGTCTGAACTCTTTAAATCATGATTATTTTTGTTTTTACAGAAACTTTTTAAAAAGGTACATTCTGAATTAATATATTTATTTTTTTAACGTAGAAATAAGATAGAAATGTATTCTGGTGATTTAACAGGTCAGAAGCCAGTCAAGAACACTTCATTTCTCCCATTTATACTCTATTTATTTCATGGGTTATGATGCCTGATTTGGAGTTATTACCATCAATATTTTCACTGACTGTGGTGAAACCTGTATTTTTGTAATTTCTGCTGATGTTGAGATTTCCTCATAATTCGTCTATTGGAAAATGCATTGTAAGAACGCTCTAGGGCAATTCATCAAGTTAGAGTTAAAGTAAATAAAAACCACTTTCCTGGCGCAAATAATTAGACGTGTTTTTCTATTTGCCCTCTTAAACTTGGAGCTTGATAAAGTACACAATTCTCCATCATTAATATTTGTGTTAACACACACTAACATTTGACAATCTAAACAGAGAATTCTACCTCAGTAATTGAACAAATATGTTACATTCAACAGACTTGTTTTTCTTTTTTTTACCACAGGAGACAAACTTCTGAGTCTGAAAAGAAACATGTTCATTTCTAGAAGGTTACAGCTACAGCTACCCTATTAAAACAAACTCATTCTTGAAGATTTAATATCCCTTTACCGTAACAGGCTACTAGTATTACTATTTTCTTTTTTCTTATCCAGCTTCTGATCATATGAAACAATTAAACAGGCAGCAGCAATTAGTAGTGAAGGAATGACCTGCATCTTCCAGGAAACCAGGGGATCACCTTGGCCCGGGCAAAATAACAATTACAACTGAAAATGCCCCATTGCACTAATGAGATTAGTATCAGTCTTAAGCACATGGACTTGCAAGTTGGCCATCAGTAAACATGAATGAAATCCTAATCGTGTAACTAGTATCACTAATAAGTTTTTCTAAAATATTGTGGAAGCTTCTCCACAGTCTGAGAAATGTCTGTACTCCTGTCAAAGAAGTGAACTATGCGTAAGTAATCTGTAACCTAACTTCTCTTATAACTGGACCCAACCCTTTCTTTCCCTCATTGCAAAGGGATCCTGTTAAATGTTTTCCTTCTACTGTCTACAATCCAGTCTTCAGTATTACCTGTTTGACTAGCCATCCGCCAGGCTGTTGACAAGCACTCAACATACATTAGCTCATGGGAACCTCACAATCCCGTGTGGCAGAAACCATCATCCCCATTTTACAGATAAGAAAACTGAGACAAACAGCTTAAGAAATTTTCCCCAAATCATATAAGCGTCTAAGAGTCAGAGCCAATATTAAAATTCAGGACTGCTGTCTCCAGAGCCTGCATTTGTAATTGCCAAGATACAATCCTGCCTTCTTTACCATTCGCTGCTTTTTTACACCAGGATCTCCTTTATTTGTTATTTTTCCAAGTTCCTCATGTACAACATAAAGGGGGTATGGGCTAGGATTCTGTGTTCCTTCAATCCTAAGATGCCATCAATTTTTATCACACTTAATTTTTAAATTTTTGATTGTAGTAAAAACCACATATAAAATTTACCATTTTAATCATTTTTAAGCATACAGTTCAGTGGTATTAAGTACATTCACACTGTTGTGCAACCTTGATCATCATCCATCTACAGAACTCTTTTCATCTTGCAAAACTGAAACTCTGTACTCATTAAATATTAACTCCCCATTCCTCCCTCCCCCAGCCCCTGGCAACCACTATTCTACTTTCTGTCTCTATGAATTTATTTGACTAAACTCTAGGTACCTTATTATTTAAAGAAAGAAAGAAAGAAAAACAAAGAAACATTCTAAAATGTGTACATACCCTACTTAAGATCATAAAATACATCACAACTTCTTAAATATTAAAATGGGAGAAATCCAATATTGTTAGCTAATCATTAAGTTGTAATCCTAAGACCCTCTACCCATTGGATTCTGGATGCTGCCTCAGTCCCCTTTGGGTTCTAAAAGTAAAGTCCATCACAGGCTCAGTGCTATGACTACTCATTTCACACCTACGCCTTTATTAGTCCAAACGCTCCTTCCTGTTCTCCTCTTCTCGCTTTGCTTTTTGCCCTTTGCATCTTTCTTGATTTATTCTTTCATTTTCCGTGTGCTTGAGAAAATATATGTAATTTGGAAGGATTGGGGTCAAGATGAGGGAATAAATATAAATAAGTTGGATAGATATAAATAAGTTTAACAAAAAAAACTTATCTCTGTGGATCCACATCTAGTTTTTTTTTTATAGCTATTTTTAGGATGAAAACTGAATCTTCATAAGTTATATAAAGTATGTGTCATGCTGTAGAAACTTAACTTAAAAATGTCAAATATTTAGATATCAACGAAAAACACAAATCAGCAAGCCATTATCCATCCAAGGAATAAATTTAACACAATAAACAATTTCAGTTCATTTGAATATGCACTCCATTTTACCATTCAAGGAGCATCATTCATTACAAATATAATTACTGAGCACCTACTGAATGCTAGGCATTGCTCTAGGCACCACAAGTGGTGGTGGTGTTTTTCAAAGACAGGCAAAGATCTCTGATTCATGATATCTACATTCCAGTTGGAGAGACAGAAAATAAATGATATAAATATGGAAAATGGATAGTATGTAAGAAAGTGGTGGATGCTAAGAAAAAAAGAAAACAGGGAGATGTAATATGAAGAATGAATATGTGAAAACATAGATAGGGTGGCCAGGGAAGGACTCACTAAGAGCACAACTTTTAAGAAAATACCAGAAGAATACAAGAAAGCTAGCCATACAGATATCTGGGGAAAGAGCTTTCCAGGAAGAGTAAATAGCCAGTTCAAAGGCCCTGAGGCCAGTTTGCCCAGCATGTTTGAGAATCAGTGAGGAAACCAATGTGCCTGGAGTGGAGTGAAAGAGGGGAAGTGTACTGAGACATGAGGCCAGAAAGTAATGAGCAGCAACTCCCATAAGGCCTTGCAATCCCAGTAAGCACTTTGGCTTTTACTCTGAATGAGATGTGACTGTCACTGGAAGTTTCTGAAAAAGGAGTGAATGACAGGAAGTGATTTATGTTCAGATGTCATCATCATGATAATCTTTTAATCTTTTCCAGAAATACTTTAATAGAACAGATTGAGCACATGTTAATGGACCTGTTTTGGACACAAGTAAAAAATTCAACCACAGGTACCCTCAAGCTATGGCTGCTATTGGCAACCTCAGGACGTGGGCTAGGAACAGGTTCTTCTATCAACAGCAAATTCCATTCCCGCTATGTGGTGAATGGTCAGAAAAATATGGAGTAAGGAGGGAGAGACAGGAAGTAGAAATAGGCTAAAGAATATGCTAGGAAACACCTAATCTCAGAACATGAAGCAGTTAGCCAAAGAAATCAGCAAACCCGGACCTTCAAATCTCTAGAGGAGAAAATTACAGAGCAAATATAAAGTACAATAATGAGACGTCATGTATCACGAAAAGTAAAACATCTCCAATCGTCAAGGTTGTGTAGCTACACCACTGCTAAAAAGATGGATCATACTGGGCCGGCCCCGTGGCTTAGCAGTTAAGTGCGTGCGCTCCGCTGCTGGCGGCCCGGGTTCGGATCCTGGGCGCGCACCGACTCACTGCTTCTCCGGCCATGCTGGGGCCGCGTCCCACATGCAGCAGCTGGAAGGATGTGCAGCTATGACATACAACTATCTACTGGGGCTTTGGGGGGGAAAAAAAAGATGGATCATACTACTTACAATAAAAAATGAGGAGGTCTATTGGCTGGGAACATAAGAACGTTCAGCAAGGGAGTGGTTGGGAGAGCCAGGATCTGTGTCACATCACACGAAAATGTTTTCGCTTTAGGATGTACTATTAAGTTTCCCAAAGCAAACAGCTTCCATTTCCACTACAGATCCAGAAATAGATCTTGATTTTTTCACACAATTTTCATTAGCTTCTATATAAACACGATTAATCCATAAGCTTATTAATGCATCTTCCTGAGAAATGAGTATCCTTTAAATACTTACAAAATAAACTACCTTTTCTATCTTCCCCTTTGAATAGGTTTTTGTAACATTCTTTAGATTTTATGTATTCAACACATATTAAAACCATGGTATTTACCACTGTGTTCAGGGAAAGGGCAGATGTGCCACATCATCAATTTGAGAAGGATGCCTACAAAGAGGTTTCACTGTTCAGTGAATACGAACACCATGTAAAGCCCAACTCCATGACTTAACTCACAGACTGGAATTGAAATAACTGCCACAAACCACTAGATGGCACTTCACATCAAATACTGCCGCAAACCTCCATTGCTTTTTGAAGTGTCTATTCATTGTACTTCCTATTTAGAATTGCTATTGGGTCCTTTCACAGTCAACTTCCCAGTATTACTGAGAAAGCATGTGCAAGGTTCTTTCCCTTATAGGACTATTTGTTTTAAGCCACAGCAGGTCATACAGGCACAACCTGAAAGACAGTCCACTTTAATGGGCAAAATCAGGTGACCTCCTGGCATTCATGAAATGTACACAAACAGGACTTTTGAAAAAATTACCCTCAGAGTCAAAAGGGAATTGGGATCTCTTAAGGCGTAAAATCAGAACAAACCCATAAACTTTTTTTCTTATTCTAATCAGCTACCCTATGTTCTAAATTTTGGAATCAATAACAAAAGATTCTCAGTATGGGATTTGTAACCAGCAGACATCTACCATTTGACTCTGAAGCCATTCGATGAGCGTTTCTGCTGTTGAATCTGGGATTTGGCATCTCAAGCCTTCCTTCTCATCTGTTTCCATCATCTCCAACAATCCACGCAGGTCTTCCACAAGGTGCAGAGCTCGCAAGCTTCCCATGAATGGGGAGGTGGGAGACTGGCAATCAAAAATCCCGTTGGAATATTCTAGGGCCTTAGAACCTAGGTTTAAAAAAAAATCACAGAGAGAGCAACAGGATTTATATTAGAAACATACCAAAGCTGGAGGTGGCAAACAAGTCTAGTCACAGTGAGAAATAATCAAAACAAGGAACAGGGAAAAGATAATAATTCAACCATGTAAATCTCTCCAAGTCATAGTTATTAGGTGCAAAAATAAAAACCATATAATTGATAGTAAATATCAATGGTCAAATACCTAATAGGAAGGCCAACTGTGTGGTATAGTAAGGGTATGGTGGGCTTTGGTGTAAGACGTGCTGACCTCACAGAAACAAGTGCTAAGAAGGTAGGAGACTAGTTCAGATGGAGCCATGTATTCCAAAAACTACAATATTTAGGGACTATGAAGTCTTTAAATTCCCTGTAAAGAAATTGCACATTGAGGTGGAAATTGCATAGCGTAATTTCAAAGGTACGAGGGCCAGCTCCCAGTTAATTTACCAGAATAATCTCTGAAATTCAATGAATTCCATGTGTACATTTGTAGATGTATATATGAGTATTTTTGTATAAACATGTTCCCCTATGCTTGTGTTTGCAGCCTAGCATCAAATGCTCCTGCTAATGTCGGCCTCAAAAAATACTTTGACAGATATTTTTGTTTTCTATTACATACAAGAGAAAGTATTCTACTACTTAAATCCACACAACTGACCCACGGCCCATTCTAAAAGCAATCATATATAGCTCTTCATCTCTTTGATTTTTATGTTCTAGTCTGTCAAATATATATAATAACTTTTTACTTAAATATCAATAACTATGAGGTTTAGGTTATCACCTCATAAATCTGAAAGTCTCACAATTGGATGAGACCTGTGAACCAACGTGTAAGTTCTCTCTCCACTTGGCCATACGGCTTCATTAGTTCCAACAATGAAGAGAGGAATTCTCTTTCAGCTAGTCCATTCCATTGAACTTCCTAATATTGGACCAAATGATATGGACCAAAATCTGCAAAACTATAATAACAATAACCATTGATATGCTAGGCACAATGCTAAATGCTTCACATAACCCCCTGAATCAATCCTCTCAGGAACACTGTATGGCTGAAATGACAACCTGTAAAAATATAAATTGAGGAGAGTGTGACGGAGGAAGGAGGAACAAAGGAGCATTAAAAACCAGACAGGCTGTAATGTCCTATTCCAGCAGTTTTAAGCATCAGGGTCACCTGATGATATTATTAATAACACATGTGCCATGATAACCCTCCATTCTTTTAAGTCTCCATCACAAAACAAGGTGGGGACAGGGGAGAGATGTGTATTTAGGAAAATTCCCCAAATGTTTATAGTCATTTCTCCTCCTCTCCCTCCTACCTCAGTTGGAGAATTACTGATGGTAATTTGAAAACATATAAACCCAGGTCCTAGCTACAAAACTACTGACTGACTTAATTTGAGGTGGGACCTGAGGAATCTTGATTTTCTTCATAACTCTAATGTTGGTCCTGAAGCCCTGCCAGGGCTAAGGAGCAAATATACTAATCTAGTGGAATATGTAAAACGTAAATCCTTCAACTACTGTTCCAGAAATATCACTTCTTTCCACTAGAGTTTCACGAAGAGTATAAGGTTCTGACCTCTGGTAAGAGCCTAGAAATGGTTCTAGCGATCTTTTCTGAAATTGTGACAAAGTCAGTCCAATCTCTTTTCCCCATAATATTCCTTCAACTATTGGAAAGCATATAGCATGCTCTGAGCAAGAATGCACTTTTCTAGGTTAAACTTAACCACTTCCTTACCAGGTGTGGTTGTTAAACTCTTGCCTTCACGCTCACGTCCTCTGGATGTTTTAGCTTGCCAATGACCCTTCGAAAATGATATTCCAAGAACTGAATACAGTACCCAAGGTGTGGTCTAATCTACAAAGGAGGTTCACATTGAAGTCTGGTCTCCAGGACCTTAACAAAGGAGGCCAAACTATGATATGTCACTTTCCTCAAGAGAAGAGCTTTCTAAAGAGGACAACACCTTTGGTATTTTTGAACCACCAAAACAGAGTAGGGTCAAATTTATGACCAGAAAAGATGAGCAGCCAGGGCCAGGACAACTAGGATCCAGGAGCAGTAGAGACCAATCGCATCCTGACCCTGACCTTTAGGTGGATGGCAACCTCACCTAATAGCCCATTCAACCCTCTCCTCAATTTAATGGGCTCCTAAACACGGAAAAGTACTTCTCTTGAGACAAAATACAAAATGTGACATGAGACCTTAGGCAGCCACCACTCCTGGGAGACCTCAGGGGAATAAAAGGGTTCACTTACTAGTCAGTGCCCTTAGCCATGATGAGAAAACAAGGTGATCGTCTATTGCTTTTGCTCAGCTACCATAATAGAGAATTGCTGAAGATTCTTAACAAAGGAGTAATATGATCAGATTAGTGTTTTAGAAAGGGGATTCTGGTGGTCTAGAGAAGAATGGACCAGAGTGGGAAAGCAGAAGCGTCAGGGACATCAAGTGAGAGAGTTACTTGGACAAAGTAAGATAATAGCAGCACAGACAGGACAGACTTTAGAAAGGATAAAAGGGAACGGCAGAATTTGGGAGGAGGTAGAATTGATAGAACTTGATTAACTAAGTGGGGAACGTGAGAGGCAAAAGTGTCTAGAATGACTTAAATTTCTGTTTAGGAAACTGTGTGGATGGAGGGTTATGAAGTAAGTCAAGATAAAGACTACTAGAGGGGCTTGTAAAGAAAGATAATGAGCTCAGGGTTTTAAATGATGACAATTGATGTGCCTGTAGGACGTTTCAGGGGAGATATCTGCTGGGCACTTAGAGATGGGGTCCTCAAGCTTAGCAAAGAATTGGGAAAGTTAATAGATGTGAGAGTCACTGGTGGAAAAGTGAATGTTGACTTCAAGGGGACAGATCAGCATCTTTATGGATATTGGGTAGAGCAGTCTCCCTCAAAGTACAGTCCACAGACTACTTGCACCAGAACCACCTGACATGCAGATTCTTTATCCTTGATGAGAAACCTAGGGTGGAAATGGAATTTTTGACATTTTAAAATAAAATTTGAGGGCCGGCCCCGTGGCTTAGCGGTTAAGTGCTCGTGCTCTGCTGCTGGCGGCCCGGGTTCGGATCCCGGGTGCGCACCAACGCACTGCTTCTCTGGCCATGTTGAGGCCGTGTCCCACATACAGAAACTAGAAGGATGTGAAGCTATCACATACAACCATCTACTGGGGCTTTGGGGGAAAAAATAAATAAAATCATAAAAAAAATAAAATAAAATAAAATTTGAGGATAATTCTGGCAGAAAATGAAGAAGAAGGACAAAGATGAAACCACGGGAAACCGAAAGGCATTGGAGAGAACCGATAAATGAAGATAAGTGCAAAGGTAAATAAAAGAGCTGTAACGAAAAAGCCAAGAGAGCAGAGTAAATGTCACGATTCCATCTTTTAGAGGATGCCGATTACCTGCTATAATGCCATCCATCTGCTCCAGCGCTGCAGCCAACATGTCACTGGCATCACTCATCATTTTGTTACTTGTCAAGGGCAAATTCCAACGTAGATCTGAAAAAATAATGATGTTATTGTTGCATCCTTTAAATGACACACACATCCTGGTAGGTTTGATAATTCCACTTCAAATTATAACTCCACCTAGCAGTCAAATACGGAGAGGGAAATTTCTGAAGCAGTAGAGTTGTAACCGAATCACTTAACAAGCTGTGGCCAATCACTGCTTACTGTATTGCAAGACCACACGCTCTATCTATATCAGCCAATAAAATAAGTAAGTTTCAAAACAGTCTTGCACTCAAGGTGTTTAAAATCCAGTAGAGTGGTTTCCATGCTGTACTCTGTAGAGCTCTAGGTCTCTGTGAAGGCATCAGGGATGGCTGTGGAATCTTCTTGAGGGCCATGAAGGATGGCTGAATAGATAAGACTTCTTTCTCCTTGCACCAGCCACCCAATCTCTGCTCTCTTAATTTTGCCTTTTTTCTTTCTGTAATAAGGGTTATTTGTCTAAGAAAAAGGTTCACTAACGTATACACTAAACATATACACTTACTGCTAATTTGTAAAATAACAATAGCCACCATGTATCGAGTGCCTACATGTATTGAGTGGTCCCTATACATTTCCATAAATTCTCTATAATCCTTAATCATGACAACACCTATATAAAATGGATAAATTCACCTCCATTTTACAAATGAGATCAAAGATGATTGCTGATTTTTGCATGGAAACACGGCAAGTAAATATAGTGAAAACCAGTTTCTAACCTAGGTCTGTTCTATTTCCACTATAATATTGAATTTCTGTTTATTTGATTCTATCTGAAAGATAGGTTTATGCTGCAATTGTGTCACAATCTACTCATTCTTTTACCTGTTAAAAAAAATATATTGAAATGATCACTGCAAAAAATTTGGTCATTAAGAGGAAAAAGTCAAATTACCTGATTTTCAATTATTAATTAATGCATTTCAGGTAACAGACTAAGCAACCATGTAAATTCTCCCAACAGGCCTAAATGAGGCTCTTGCTACTTTGCAGATACTGTGGTGTAGCAAATACCTGGGAAATAAAGGGTATGCTGTTTAACAGAAACCTTTGCCCTGTGTTTCCAAGTAGCCAGAACTCACTTACCACTTTATTTTTATAAACATATTTACAATTCTGATAAACAGCTTCTTAGATCAGTTCTCTAATGTGCATTCATTCTAATAAAGTGCCATATAATCATTGTAAAACATTACTTTGATTTTATAATTTTAATAGATTTCATCTAAGAATTTCCCAGAACATTATTTACCTCAGAAGGTATAATATATCACTACCATTTTATGTGGAAATACTACAGCACAAAAATACGCAAGGTACACTTTTACAGTCATCCAGAAATCAGGGGGCTAATAAGCTAGGTTATGAACCTAAGTAGTTCTCAAAAATTTACTTGCACATTTAGCTTGTACACAGTCCAGAGAGGTGAGACACAAATTTAATAATCCCACTTCAGGCTGGAAAAATCGAAATGTGAAAATTGAGAACATAAAGGATTAAGATGAGTGTGCAGTCCTTGAATTTCATGTAATGAGGTGGCTTGCATTCCCTTTCATTTTAAAAGTTACACTTCAAAGAGCTCTAGATACTATGAGATATATATATATGTGTGTATATATATATAAGTATATATATAAAGAGACACACGCAGCTCAGCTATAAATGTGGAGAATGCTAACAAAACAAAATAATGCTCACAGAAGAAAAACTCACTGCCTCACTAAATTAGAAAAGCAAATATTTGTTTTTGTTGGCAACTATATTTTGTGTAGAGCATGAACACTTTTTCAAGTATGACAGATAGTTATTTATTTCTTCTCTGCTCTGTTCAATGAGCCTTTCAAATGCTATGACATGGAGGTATGAGAACTGACACCATGCATTTAAAAGTGGAGAAGTACCAGTTTTTTAAAAAATTTCCAATTTGTTAGAGATCAAGCCTTTGATGAATATAATAAAAATATGATGACAATATTAAACTGTTATAAATGTTTATAAATGCTTACTCTCGATCTCTATACTTATCATGTGGCAGCCTACACGTAACAGTGAGGAGAAGACAGACAGTAAAAACAATTAATAAATAATGTATGTCATATGACGAAGATGGTAGGTGCTAAGGGCAAAAAACAGAGCAAATAAGGGGGTCAGGCGTTTGGAGGGGTTTGTAAATTAAATAGCGTGGTCAGGGAGAATGACAGATTCAAAGACCATTGACCTTTTCAATAAATTACAAGCAGTTAAATGTAGGTGGTAGTTCAGTGGTATTTCAAGTGTAGAATTCCTCCAAATTGATTAAAAAATGGGAAAGGTGAGGACACGAACAGACATATAACAGAAGAGGAAACACTTTCAACCAAGAAATATGAAGAGATACTTAACGTCATTAATAATCAAGGAATTAAGACAACAATGTGATACCGTTTTATATGCAGTCAGTTGGCAAAAAAATTTGACACTACCAAGTATTGTAGAGGATGTGGATTCACAGAATCTCTTATAGAATGGTGGTGGGAATGTAAAATGGGCTAAAATTAAACATTCACATTCATTTCCAATCTAGCAATATTTACTGCAAGGCATATAACCATGAGCAATAGACAAATGTTCACAGTAGGACTCTTCAAAGGACAAAAATATGGAAACAACCCAAATGTCCATCAAGATAAGAGGAGATGAATAGACTGATATATATATGCAATGGAGTTACATACGGTTGTCAAAGCAATATATGTGTAGTATGGACAAATTGATGCCATATAACAGCAAATAAAAAAGTAAGTCTCTGGTAAACTCAGCAAGACTCTTTATAAAGTTAAAAATAATCAAATACAAATATATTTTAGAAATACATAGAGGTTCAATATAACTATACAAAAATAAAAAAGAGAATGATATCATGCAATTCAGGATGATGGTTACCTCAAGCCAGGGACATAAGAGAACAGACTGAGAGGAAGAATTTTACAGTTGAATGAAGGTTACTGTCAAATTTCTGAGTTAGGTAATGGATTCAAAAGGGACTATTAAAAAAATAACAAAATGGGAATTCTGCTTCTGATAATGGTGGAATAGACTTTATTGGACAAACTGCCCCACAAATAGCAATACAAAACACTGGATAAAATATAAAAACAATTTTGTTGTAGAGTAACCAAAAGCAGGTAGAAACTGGAGGAAATTCAGCTCTTGAGTAAGGGAACCACGAGTGAGATTCACATTTATACATCTTTTCACCTGTGGGCACTCCCAGTCCATGTGATGCAGAGTGGCTAGGACTCATAAAGAAAATCGTGATCTTATTGGCTCGAAGGATAGAATAGGGTAAAGTTCTTAGATTATACACAAAAATGCTTAATACAAATTCATGGTACACTGTGATAAATCAAGAATATATAGTGTAATCCATTAAAACTAAAAAATAAAGAGATATAAAAAGCCAACTGAGTTGATGAAATGGAATACTAATAAAATCCTCAATCCAAAAGAAGGCAATAATGGTGGAACAATGGACAGATGAGAGAAACAGAAATCAAATGATAAGATAGGAGACGTAAGCTCAATTGTATAAGTCATTACATTAAATATAAACAGAACAAATACTATTAAGAGCCAAAGATTGTCTGGTTAAAAAAAAAAGACTAGGGCTGGCCCGGTGGTGTAGTGGTTAAGTTCGCATGCTCTGCTTCAGCGGCCTGGGATTCGCAGGTTCGGATCCCAGGCATGGACCTATGCAACACTTATCAAGCGATGCTGTGGCAGCATCCCACATATACAGCAGAGGAAAATGGGCATGGATGTTAGCCCAGGGCTAATCTTCCTCAGCAAACGAGGAAGATTGGCAATGGATGTTAGCTCAGAGCTAATCTTCCTCACCAAAAACAAAACAAAACAAAAACAATATGATTAAAAAAAAAGACAGACCTAACTACATGCTGTTAATAGAGGTGCAATTTAAATATTGCACTTAAATATATGTCTTTAAAGACATATAAGGTAAAAGAATGAAAAATGAGATACTGTGCATATAGTAAGCCTAGAAAAGCAGGACTGGCTATATTAATATAAGAAAAATGGTTTCCAGTCAAGAAGCATTACTACAAAGAAAGATGAGTATTTCATAATGATAAGAGTTAATTCATCACGAAGTCGTAACAATCACAAATGTTTTTGCAACTAATAACAGAGCTTCAAAATACATAAGGCAAAACTGACACAATTAAGGGAGAATTACACAAATAAGTCCATTCATATTTAATGTAATTGTTGATATGGTTAGATTTAAGTCTATTGTCCTGCCTTTTTTTTTTTTTCTGTTTGTCCCATCTGTCATTTGTTCCTCCTTTTCAATCTTCTTTTGGAATTATAGACAAGGTAGAAAAAAATCAAGCAATATAGAAGATTTGAATACCACCATCAACCATCTTGACCTAATTCAATTTATAGAACAAAACACCCAAATGCACAATATACATTCTTTTCAAGTCCAAATATTATATTCACCAGGATAGGCCATGCAAGGCCACAAAATAAGTCTCAGTAAATTCCAAATAGGCTTTAAAGGACTACACAGAAGAGGAAGAACAGCAACCTGAAGTGGAGAAGTACTAATACTCAGAATAGAATTTCCATACTTGTGAAATTTCTGACTTGCCTGTGGCTTGAGTTATTTTTGAGGCAACCTAATTTAGTGAGCATCTGTGTTGATAAAGCTATGTCCACTTTTGTGGCTGGGTCAATGTATTTTTAAAAATGAAAAGGCTAAATAAAACTCTTCAGCAAATCCATGCTCTAAAAACATTTTCCTGTAGCCTCAAAAACATTTCTGAGAGGAAGATTCCCCTGAGCATCCTCACATACTTAATACAATGGAATATTACTCCAACACAATGGAATATTACTCCACAATAAAAAAGAATGAACTACTGATATATGCAATATTATGTTGAGCAAAAGAAGCCAGACATAAATGACTATGTACTGTATGATTCCGTTTATAA